CTTATGCTTTCATGCTGACAGGCTGTTGTCCGACACACTTGATCATCTAGCTCAGGAGTCTGAAAGAAAAGTTGAAAGATCAGGTTACTGGGAAAATTCCATTTCCCTACTTTCTACTCAGTGGCAGTTCTGACATGTCCTAAAAATTGTTACTTTGATTTTAGAGAATTTGCAATATAGATGCTCATCAGACTTAACATCTTTGATCATGACTCAAATCCTCTCCTTGGTAAGGAACTGTGGAATCTTCCACCTCTGTGGTGGAAATAATAATACACACCATACCGCAGGAGACACACGCACTTAGAGATGCAGTCCGTTGTCTAGCGTTTGGTCGGTGCCTAAGAAGCACGAGTCCTCCTCCCCGTCCTCCCTTCTCAGTGTCGTGGCGGTCGTGCAGTTTGGATGTGACTCATGTGAAGGCACTGAGTGCAAGCCCTGAAACAGAGGTGTGTTTGTTGAATTTGAGTCTGAGTCCCCAAAGAATGGGACTCTTCTTGTAGAGTGGTGTGGTGAGTGAGAGCGAGCCAGATGGACAGTGTCTGTGTCAGTTTCTGCCGTGTGACAGACCCCCTCAGAACTCAGTGGTCAGCAGGGGTGGCTGTCAGTCGCCGACTAGGCGTTACCACTTGGTCCTCTGCCATCGAGCTGCATACTCCGCCTTAATTAGATGGTAGTAGGATGCAAAAGCAATTTTTACATCTTCACTTGCAATACATTTACTTTTGCTTCAGTGACCAACCGGTCACCTGGCCCTTAGCAGAGTCAGGGGAGGCACGTCTGGAGGGTAAGGATGCTGGGAGTCAGTTATATTGGCCATTTCTGCAAACAGTCCATTTTAGATGCTAATTATGATGTAATATAGATCTCTCTGCTGGGAATTATCTGTAAAGTCATACCTAGAACATGCTAAAATTGAATTGCAGTGTAACTAAGGAATTGGTAGTAACAACAGAAATGATTGTAAATCTTGTCTATAAACTTAGTCCGTCAGTGAAGCCCACTCACATACAAGCAATCACTGTGCTATAGGAAGGTAATTTCTGGAATCAGTAAGTTGAGGGATCAAAAGTACATCTAACTGGTTTGAATGCTTGTCGTTTCTGGCCATTGAGGTGGCTTCCCTTAACAGTTGCTTCCCTTAACAGTTGTCTTTTCAACTTTAATTTTATAAAATGCTTTTTTATATTTTTCATCTCTAGGTGATATCTTTATTATAATTTGGGCCAAGCAAAATTTGGTCATGTCTTCCATCTAAAAATTTTAAATGTACCCCCACAACATCTCACTAATACAACAGTCAAATCAAAAGTAACTTAAAAAAATCACAGTCTTCTCACAAGTATTCGATGCATCCTAACTTTTTCATTTTGGTCTGGATTTGGTTTATGCTCATGTACGTGGAGTGTATGGCATATTTTAGGCCAGCCTTTAGAGAGACGAGCCTCTTTGGAGTGGTTCTCAGTAACAAGCATAACTGTGTTCATCAGTTACTGCCATGCTGTGGAATTTTCAAAGCTACAGTGGGAGGTTAGAAATCACTGATCCAGTGACCTCTGTGTGTAGATTGAAACCTGTGGTTTTCCCAAGAGCATATAATTAAGGCCAAAATCTAGATCTCACAATCCTAAGAGGCTGGTCTTCGAGTGTATTATGCTGTCTCCAAAGTCAGCCTTAGAGCATTTAGTACCTGTCACACGTAACTGTTCAACTACTCTTCTCACTCTAAGTGAGTTTCTTACATGTGTAAATACAATCCCTCGTCCTCTATGGGGTTTTCAGTTTCTCTTATTATAATTCTCCTAATGTTTTTTCATGTTTGGGGACTAATCACACAGCTTTATAGATATAAACCATTTCAAGTCTTGAATCATTTTTCTGCTTCCCCACCCCCGTTTTTCTTGATTGCAGGTGGTTTTTTATTTTACATAATGGGGACCTTATCTGTTAATATATAAGGAACTTGAAATTTTTTTTTGTAAGAAAACTGAAAGTTTATGAGTTGTTGCTGATATTTTCGCTAGTTCATCTTTTTTCTTTTGTGGTTCCATGATGACATGCTTTTATACCATTCTAAATGTGCTTGGGGCACTTCTTTTTTTCTTTTTAAATAATAGTTTGTTTTTACATCATTTTGTACATTTTTTTTTCATCTCAATTGTAATTCCTGTGGGTTTCCCATCACCGAGTCACCCGTGTGCCATCACCATAGTCCAGTGCACTTCCCTCCCCCCACTATTTTTGATCCCATTCCCCACTCTATCCCCACAAAATGTCTCTGGTATATAGCTGTTCATCATTACTATTTTCTTGCCTGGTCCATTATACTCCTGCTATGAGCGAAACCATCTGGTATTTTTCTTTTTCTTTCTGGCTTATTTCACAAAGCATGAGCTTTTCCAGCTCCATCCATGTTGCTGCAAAAGACATGTGTTAATTTATTTATTTATTTTTTGGTTCTTGAGTAATATTCCATTGTGTATATGTACCACCATCTTTTTAATCCAGTCATACACTTTTGGACATTTGGGTTGTTTCCATGTCTTTCCAGTTGTGAATAAAGCAGCAGTAAACATGGGGGTACAAGTATCTTTTTCAATCAGTGTTTTTGTGTCTTTTTGGTAGATACCTAGGAGTGGGATTGCTGGGCCATAGGGAAGCGCAATGTTTAGCAGTTTGAGGAACCTCCAAACAGTTTTCCATAGTGGTTGTACTAGTTTGCATTCCCACCAGCAGTGCAAGAGAGTTCCTTTTTCTCCACATTCTCGCCAACGTTTGTTGTTGCTAGTTGTTTTAAGATGTGCCATTCTCACTGGGGTGAGGTGGTATCTCATTGTGGTTTAATTTGCATCTCCCTTATTACATATCATTTGTCTTTTTTAAGCACAACTGACTTTATTTTATTTTTTAAAAAATTTTCATCATTTGCCTTTGACTTGGCTTTTAGTGTATGTGCATGGACTTGCTGGTTTTTAAAATATGTGATGTGATATTTTTAATATATTCATCTTTTATTGCAGCTGGCTTTTTAAAGTCATGGTTAGAAAGTCTTTTCTTCCCCCACACCCAGGTTTTAAATGCATTCACACATGTTTTCTCCCAGTACTTAGGTTTCCATTTTTACAATTAGTGTTCTAATCCACTTGGAAAGAGGTGTGGATTCAATTTAATCTTTTTCCAAATAACTCTCCAGTTGTTTGAGTAGCCATGTGGACTTTTGTTTTCTGATTTTCTTTTCTGTTCTGCAGCGTCTCTAGTCGGGTTATAGTGCAAGTTGTCCTGGACCGTGGGCACCTGGTGGTGCTGTGCTGTCACAGTCCCGGCTCAAGGGGGCGCTCTTGCTGCAAAGTTGTCCCTAGGCCAGCCCGCTTGTGGTCAGTGGGGAATGATCCAAAGGACATAGCTTACTGACTTGTCCGTAAATCAACAACATCCCCCTTTTTACAGGTTTTTTTTTTTTATATGTATGTGTGTGGTTTCTTCAGAACTGTGTTATAGAATGAACCTTAACTCTTAACTTACAAATTAAAATAAGTACGAAAAGCCCTTAATATTGGACTTAGAACAAAGAAAACACACACTGAGCACATCATTGTTGACTGGACCTGGCAAACATGATATTTAATCCCTAATAAGTGAAGTAAGCTATTGGCAGCATCTGGAAACGGACAGATTTGCAGTTGGCTGCCACTGCACTTGGCGGTGGTGTGAGGAAGATGACAAATGTCTGAGAGGAAGTCAGGTGCTGGCTTTAAACTGGACTGAGCAAGAGATAAGATTGCACAAAGCAAGGATGCCTGGGGAGGTTGCTGTTCATTATTTTCTGGGCCCTCCTTGAAGGCTCTGAACCTTCTGGTCCTTTTTTCCTGGTTCCTGGGGGGAAAAGGGCAATAAAAATTACCCATTTATGGTAAGCACTGAAAAAACCTCTGTCTGTCCAGTATTTGAATACTAATCACAGACACAGCGCCTCTTCAGCACGGGAAGTAGGCACATTTCAGCTGGCTAGGTTTGTGTCATGCCAGGCAAAACGATTCTTTTTGCCATTATTACTATGTATAACCAGTAACTGGCGCCACCTGACTCTGGCTCGGCAGTTGCTGACTATTTTCTTAGGGATGGTTTCAAGCCCCATCTCAGTCCCCTCTATGGTCTGCATGACCACCCCAGCTTGTAAGACACCTCCCCGTTTTCTGCACCTCTTATAACCAGTTCTGTCCACTTTATACTTCTTCTGTACTTTCTTTTTTTAAATGTTCAATAAAGGTAAATAAAATCACCTGTAATCCTACTATCAGAGACAGATGCTACTAACATTCTGATATAATTTCTCCGTCTTTATTTTTCCTCCTATGTATATGATTTTTAGAGTTGAATTCATTCTCTTTTCACTCTCTCTAAATGTAAATGTAAAAAATAATGTATCCTGTCCTCCCATGCCCCATAGTGGATCATGGACCATTTGTAAATAGTATTTTCAAAGCTACATAATATTTCATGGAGTGACTGGATTGGGACTTACATTTTCTTTTTTGTGCCTATTTTTCTCATCCAATTAGATCATGAGATTTTGGCCTCAAAGGGAGCCCTCCTGTAGCGATCCCTTCTCCTGCCCCAGTGCCTGTAGAGACTATTATATTATATGTAATGATCACTGATTACTTCTGCTTGCTTCTCCGTTTTCAGGCTGTGACAGGAACTGCTTACAATTGGAGATCCAACAGTGTGGCTTGCAGATAACTCAGCTATTGCATCACTTAAGTCTTTCCAATTAGAAAAAAAAAGTCCTGGGAAAATCTTTGCATGTATTTAAGGGCGCCATGAATCCTCGTAAAGGCTGTGTAAAGTATTTTGAGTGAGCATTTGTGCATTTCCTGTAGTTTCTGTCAGATTCTCGAAGGAGTTCATATTAACAAAAAGAACCACTGATCCAGGGGCGGGCCCATCAGGACTAGACCTGAAAGTATTCTGTTTCATTTTTTGTCTTTCTTGGTTTTTAGGAAGGGATGAGACCATGCAACCTGCAAAACCTTCTTTCCTCGAATACTTTGAACAAAAAGAAAAGGAAAATCAGGTCAACAGTTTTGGCAAGAGTGTACCTGGCCCCTTGAAAAACTCTTCGGATTGGAAAGTACCACAGGACGGAGACTATGAGTTTGTAAGTAGTGTGGGAAGAGGTCACCTCTGCTGGGAACAGTATTTGCAATATCACATCCGGTGCCACCATTTCTCTGAGGCCCCAGTCTGCAGTTGCCCAGCCTCAGTCTCCCCTAAACGCCCTGGGCGGCCGCGCCTGGATGGGGCTGCCTGAGCTTGGCGATACTTTGAATCCTACTGTGTAGTTGGGGCTCCCAGTCAGTCGCATCTTTTTCACGTCAAAATTCCTTTCTTTATTTGCTAGTTTTCTTTTTGTTGAGCTTGAAACGTTAATAATGGCAAAAAAAAAAAAAAAAATTCAGTCACCAAATGAAGATGTGCTGCCTCTATCTTCATTCGGGGTTACAGTTAAGAATCATACTGGGGTGCTTAGTATGCTTTGGGTGTCTTGGCTGTTTTCCTGACTGTTACCCTAATTGTAGGCTCTCTGAGAGGGTTACCTTGATTTTTGTGAGAGGATGAACGTTAAATTGTTCCAAAGTTTCTTAAGAAAAACTGGGTGTGTTTTTCCTTTCTCTGCTGTGGAACATTCTCCTTTAGCCACAGACACTTGTTAATGTTCACAGGGATTTAATGAGTAGAAGCAATAAAAAAGCGAAGGCATCTCACATTCTATTTCTGAATATTTTTAGAAAAGACTTTTCCTCTAGGAATTTTTGATTTTTATAGTTTGACATTTTACACTTTTAAATTCCAATGTAATTTTTTTTTTTTTTTAATAAAAGAACCTAGTTTAGGGCATTGTATTTGGGTTCTGGCTGGAATAACACGGATAGAGATCCTGGCAGGGCCTGCTTGGTGTGTTGGTCTAGAAGAGCGTGAGTGGGGCATGGAGCAGGAAAGGAGCTGAGAGACGAAACGGGGAGCTGGGTTAACGGAGGACTTTGTGCAACAAGAGTATATTAACGTTTACACAGAGTGAGAAGGAAGGCTGTTAGTGAGAGGTGACTGGACCCTTCCCACTGAAGTTGTGAAAGTATCCTGGGGCTGTGTTAACACTCTTGCAGGAGACTGCATTGTCTGAGCTCGGACCAGCGGTGTGGTCACCTGTACAAAGGAAGCCACATCTAGGGCACAGCCACTGCCCGTTCCTGTCGTCCAGGGCTGGGACGTGCCTGTGCTCCGCTGAGTCAGCGTTCAGCCTCAGGATCCCCGTCAGCAGTGCTGCAGGTTGCCACTGTCAGTCAGGGTACACTGAGGAGATGTGAGTGAATATGTTTCCTGTGAAGTTGTCTTATTTGTATGGACTGATTTTCTCAGTTTTGTATTTAGGCAGAGATGAAATAACTTCTACATACCAAATCACGTCATCACTATGATAACAGCACACAGCTCATGGGCCTTTTTGTGTGTCCCATACAGGGTTTAAACATTTTAAATGGAGAGCTTAGGTGTCAAAATTGAGAACAGTTACGTGAAATGTTGAATTCTGAACATAGCTCATGAGCTTGAAAGGCCTGGCCACGGTGGGCCTGCATTACTGGATGATAGTTGCGGCAGCCAATTTGCGCTGTCTCTTCAGTGTGGCCTCTCCAGCTCCCAGTACTCTCTGGCTTACTTCATCTATTTGATTAATGGTCTGACCTGTCTGGTATTTACAGGCTTTTGATGTTGAGACTGTTGCTCTAAATCATTCAGGCTTGTATTTGTCCACATTGTGCCTGAGCCTGACATTTAAAATTTTCCCCTTCAAAATTTTAAGAGAATTTGAAGAATTTAGTTTGACAGAATTTCAGTCTAAATAATGAAGGAAAACTGCAGTGTGGTATACATGAGCTGCTAGCCTAGAAAGTTCCAAAGGTTAAATGAACTCTTTGGTAGACTTGCTATATAGGTCTCACCGTAACCCCAAAGCAAGCATTTGAAATAATAGTTTAAAATAGTTCCCCGACCAATCTCTAGCCCTCTCCAGACCTGCTGAATCAGGATCTCAAGGGACAGGCCAACAAGCTGTTGTTCTAACCTACCTCACCTGTGGTTCTAGCCGGCTTAATTCCAGCCTGAAATAGGTGTTTAGGTGCAGTGTGTGTCCATAAAAATTTCTTACTTTTCTACTTGGTTCAGTAGAAATTCAGAGATAAGGATATATTCACATTTCTAATATCATGTGATTTTGAAATTTCTCTTTATACTTCTTTAAATCTTCTGTACTCTTGTGGGAGGTACCAAAGACTCCACCTGTCAAACAAGGGAAATGTACGTTTGTAAGCCAATCTGTTGAGTGAAGGAAGGCTTCCGTGTGTCCTCACGGTTTAAAAAGGCTGTATGTCAGACCAGCTAACCTGTTCCCTCAGCAGTTTTAGAGACTTTCTGATTTCCTGACAGGCAATATTTAATTATGAAAAGGATACTCTCTTTCTTTCTTTTTTTTTTTTAAAGATTTATTTATTTATGCATACAGAGTTGGGGAGGAGCAGGAGGTGAAAGGATTCACCAGAGACAGTGGGGAGCAGAACAGGGAGATGGACTGAATGAAGTACACTGCTGAGGGGAGCAGCAGGTGGGTCAGGAGAGGTCTGCCGCGCCATGTGGTCACCTCCGGGGTGGGGATCAAACTGGCACTGAAGTGGCTGCTGCTAGCTTGCAGTGCTGAGCTGTAACCCACTGCGCCACCAGGGAGGGCCCAGATATTCTTAATTCTTATGAAGGAGGTTGCTATTTTGAAATGAACATTGTCCAGTGTGGCAAACAGGAAGTAATTTAATCAGAGTGACAAAATTTGATACTGACAAAAGAAACTTCATATTTTGCCTGAAACTGAATATTTGTTGCATTTCTAAAACTGAGTTGCCTTATTTGCCAAGTTGAAAAAGCAGCAAATATTTCCTTTAATTTTTCCAAGATGTAAACGATTAAAATGTAAATAAAAGGTGCTTGAAAATGCAATCTTCTCCATAATTGGTTTTTCATATTCTCTAAACAGATTACATTTTTGGAATTGGGTATTACTTTTATGAGAATTCAGACTGTCCCATTTTGCCATTCAGAAAGCCAGCAGAAGTTTAAATCTCAATCCAGTTGGGCATACGGATCTTCCAAAACACATTTAACATTTCAGCCGAGAGGGGATGGCGTGCTGGGGATGGCAATGAGGCCAGGCTTGCTCTGCTCTCCTGGCGCTGACCGTGGGGTGAGGGAAGCAGCTGTTAAGTCAGCTGCTGTGTCAGTTCAGGTAACACTGGGTTTTTTTTCAAGCACCTAAAAAGGTAGTGTAAGAGAAGGCAGTGCAGAGAGATGGGACATTCTACTAGGACCCTGTTGAAGAGGGGGCGCATGTCGTGGGAAGTGGAAGTCAAAGAGCCTGGTGTGTGTGAGGAAGGAGAGAGGCCTCTGTGGCCGAGGGACACGCAGGCTAGCAGGCCACGTTCAGCATCACCCTGTGGTGAGTGCATCAAGGTCACCTTTTGCCCGGGGACTGGGCAAACATAACAGCCAGGATTCAGTTAAATACAATGCATAAGAGATATAACTAATTAAATACTGTTGAGAAGTTTAAAACAGAGGGAAAAGGTACATTAGGTAAATGCCCACTCAGAGAGTAGGTGTAACAATACTAATATTAGGTAAAAGAGAATCTAAGACAAAGGAATATTACACAGGGAAGAGACCTTTTATGTTGCTGACGGGTCCACCTGATTTAGAGACTTAGGCCAAGCACCTGTATAAATATAAAACATGTTTTTCCAAAGCTGGTGAAAATAAAGGAGTAATGAGAAACTGCAGTGATAGTTGAAGGCTTAAATATTCTTTTCTTAAAAGTTGGCTTTTCTGTGAAACAAAAATGCAGACTCACCCCCCTGTCCCCCTGGGGTGGTGAAGGCAACGCTTGTGCAGATCTGGGTGTATCACAGATCTTCCATTTGCACCTGGCTGGCAGGTGTTGGCTATTAGCTCTTGTGACCCTTAGGTTTTGGAGTAAGTTCCCATTTGTTCAATAAGGCTGTTTCAAGATTTATGACTCACCCGATAACCAGAGTTGGTAGCCGCTGACCCTTACAGATGAATTCAGTTTGTATTAATGTAAGTCCTTCCGTTGTGAGTAGGAAGACTGAAAGAACCTTGATGGCTGCGCTTTATTTTCGTCGTCTTTGTATTCCTCACGCCTACAGCTGCCTGGCTTAAAGTCAGTGAAGCATTTTTAGTTAAATTCTGACATAATCGCTGAGTGAGTTGAACAAATACAGGCTTAATGTGTAGCAGTGGAGACATATGATTTCTTTACACATACATATACATTTGTTTATTGAGAATTTACTATGTGCCAGGCATTAGTCTGAGTCCTTTATTAGCTCAATACTGACAGCCTTCCACAAGGTAGAAAATGTTATTATTACCATTTTCTGCATTAGAAAACTGAGGCTTAAAGGGGGTGCGTAACTGACTAAGGTTGTACAGAAAGTATAGCTTACACAGATGCTGAGTGGGCCAGGGCCCATCCTATACTATGTAACATCTCTAGACCATTCTATAAACTCGGTTCAGAGTACATAAAACAAGTCTGTAGGAGTCCAGAAGAGGGCGCACTAGTCTCAGTAAAGGGCTGAGAGAATGCTAGAAAGCCTCATGAAGTGCATTTCAGGATGACTGGAATCCCTAGCTGAGAGGGCAGAGCAGGTGGTGTGTCTGTGGCAGCGTCAAGCATGTAGGATGGGGGGACGCTCTGAGTGATTGAGGAGGTGCGGGGGGGAGATGGGGTGGCACTGACAGAGAGCCCTTCAGGTGATGAACATTGGTGTCTAGTGTGTGCTTATTTTTTCTGCATATGTTCAGTAGCGTTTGTTGTATGTAGGGTAGATGAGATTATCAGGCCTTTTTCTTCCTTCCCCGCTTCCTTCCCCGCTAGTTCAGATGCCTGGGGCTGAGCGAGTGAGCTCTGGGCACATGCACCTTTGTAGACACCTGGGCCCAGACTGCACAGGGCATGCGCATGTGCAAATGCTCACACCTATGCTGAGACTTGAGGGCCAGAGGCAGCGGTGACAGAACACAGAGGACCACTCT